TTTCTTAAAGAACTCCACGCAACTCTTGGATGATACAGGCATTGTGTTCAACTATACTCCTCTGGAATTCGGTTATTCCATCTGTAAAATGTGGGTATATATTCCTAGTTGTCTTATTTGTTTGGAGAATAAGCGTGAAAATATATGGGAGCCTCTTTAGGTTTCTAGAAAGAAAGATGCTCTATAAATTAGTTATTTCTTTTTCTTAGTCTGCCATCTTCATGTGAGTCTTAGGTCTTCTCTCTCCTTTATTTCCTAGCTTCCAAAATAATCCAGTAAAGCTAAATAAAGACAGTTTTTTTCACTGCATACAAGGTTCAATTAGTATATTAATATTAAGTAGAAGCTGCAAGTTGGCATTGAGATGAGTGTAATTCCTCTTGACTTTATTAGTATGTTAATGCAGAGAAGAAAAAAGAATAATAATCTTTCAAACTGTGAAAGAGGTTTTAATGGGGACAAATTTATATTATATATTGGATTGAATTTATCCTTCTACATTTGTTGCCTGTAATTTTTGGCTCTCTCTCATCTTTTTTAGACTTTTTCAGTCAGATAATTCAGCCTTCCAAGAGACATGTGGAGTTAATGTTTTCTATCTAGTTTCCTACATGACCAAACTGAGGCATGGGTTGTTTCAAAAGAAAGTAAAGAGGGGAACTCAAAGATGACAAAGGTTCTTATTAATAGATGCCTTCTGTCCATTAAAAATAATTTGGCAGGTTCTTTTGAGATTTAACTCTACACTTATCTTTAAAATCAAAGCAGTGTATTTTCTATTAACTCATTTGTAAAAAGCCTCAAGGAAGGACTTCCATCGAAAGTTACATGAACTGAGTTTAGAGAGTTTAGACTTTTGAAATAGTATATGAGGAATTAAGAGATTTACACAATGGCTCTTTGGATGTTCAGACGCGGTAGAATGGGGCTGTTATGTGTGCTCCTATGTGGAAGAGCGGTTGCCTCCCAAGGCCAGCAGAATTACACCACACGTATTCATAGAATCTACAGTGCTGGGTCATGTGGTCACTCTGTGTGCTTGCACACAGTGGGTGCTCAATGAGCAGTTGCTAAATTAAGCTTACTGAGCAAAGTTAAGCCTATCTAAGCTTGACAAAATTCAGCTAATATTGATCCTTGTAGATTTCTATAAAAATACATTGACAAATCAGAAGAGGTGGAAACTGTTTATCAGACATTGTGCAGAATTCTTTGCTACCTACTATAGGATTGGTTCTAGAGCCCCTGAAATGGCCCATGGTCCATTTTAAGACCAGTGCCCTTGTAGATTCTTCTCTATGTAGTAATTTTGCAGAGAGTTGAAGAGGGGAGGGAGAATCACCATCATTTGATACATAACCTCTGGTCTTCCCTTTTGAGCCTTTTGCAATTAGCTCCTTTAATAATTTTTATTGATCTCATAGTCATTTTTGTGACTTCCTTAACCCTCACCCAAGTTCTGCTGATTTTGAGTGGTCATAGAACCTGGACTTGATCACAGAAAGCTAATAAGGATCAGTTTAGTGGACTTCAGTGCAGGATAATGTGATTCTTTAAGACAGGATTTCTTAATCTAGAGGGGAGAGGTGTTTTTGAACACAAATTTTGTGCAAATTTTTTGTGTATGTAAATTTTTCTGGGGAGAGGTCCAAATTTTTATTATAGTCTCACAGGGGTCTGTTTTCTTCAAAAATTTAAGAACTAGTGTTTTAACCATCCATTTCAGAAAGCTTTCTCGCCTGGGGTGTATTCCTGACCACTCAAGTCAGGAATCAGTTGTCCTCTGAGCCTGTAACACATACTATGCTATGTGCTGTGAGGTCAGAGGGGCCTTCTGGGGCTTCCAAGGGGTGAATAAGAGAGTAGCATGGAGGTAGCACCTGAGAGCAGATGAGGATGCCATGCATCTCTCAAGAAAGACATTAAGATCTCAAAGGTAATAGAGTACAAAATGGCATCTTAAAATTTCAGATAAGAAGTGATAGGGACCAGAGAAAGGGCAACAGGCTTGGACCCTGTACGTCTTCTGGCTGGTTCTTAATAGGTCTTTGGATTTTGTGTTGAAGGAGAGAAGGATAGGGATGCAAAAGGCATTGTTCCTGATTTCCTCAAGTGTAGCTGTCTTTTTTTGAATTTATATTACATTTAGTTACTCTTTTGGGTAGTTATTACATTATGCCTTGTTTTACATAATTATTTGCATATATAATTTATCTTCCTTGTTATTTTATAGTTTCTTGAAGGCAGGGACTTTGTGTTTTTCAGCTTTGGATACTCTGCAGTGCTCACCATGGTGCTTTGTCCTTAAGAGGTGCTCAAAATTTTTCGTTATGTGTTTGCTCTAGGGATGCTGTTGAAGATTTCCACCATACCACACATTCAACTTTATGACTGTCCAAATGTGAAATTTCTCTCAGGGCTTAGTTTTCATAATAGTTTGCCTTACTGTAATTATTGGGCAGTTTTTATTGTGTGAACACTGTAAATCATGCAACTTATTTTAGTGTCCTCTTTATATTGATCATTAGAAAACCCAGAGCCATGTGATTTTTTTTCAATTATTTTTGCTTATTGTGATTTTAACTGCTATTGTTTATGTAGCACTACCTGCCGGGCACTGTTATAAGCTCAATACATTATATTCTAATTTATCCTTACGTCAACCCTGATTTATTATCCCTATTTTGCAGATATGGAAACTGAGATACAGAGGGGTTAAGTAACTTGTCCAAGGTTACACAACTAGAAAGTGGTAGAACATGTGCTCTTAATCATTGCATTCTGCTCCCTCCCAGCATTACATTTGTGTTAATTCATGCAGATATTACCATATATAGTGCGTGTATAAACCAACAAGGCATGTGTGAATTAACAGTGAGACAGAGGACAGGCATGTGGGTTGATAAGGGATGGTGGGATTATTAAGTCAAGGATCAAAGTGATCTATCTGTGTTTGATCTCATCTCATTTCAGAGCTCCCAGAATAATTTTAGATCATTGCTACTCAAAGTGTGGTCTAGGGGCTGGCTGGTGCTAGTCTATGAAGTGTTTGTTATTGGTCCAAGGTCAGCTATTTATAGACGTTGAAAACAGCATTTAGAAACTTTTAGAGTCATTTGAGAGTAATTTTATATCTGTTGAATCTAATAATAAAAACTTGGCTGTATTTTATCTTTTTTAATTTTCTTTTTTTGGTAATTTATTTTAATTATATTTTACAGAAGTTTCAGTCTTCAAAGATTTGGAAATTAAAAAAAAAGTAGACTTCAACACTGTTTGAGATGTACTGTTCTAGGTAACAGCTTTGCAAGTTTTTAAGCTATTGTTTGAAAAAGAAAAGACGTAATCTGCAGCTTGAAATTACATTCTAATCTAAACCTGTTTCTGGAGATGACTTAGGAATTAGTGTATTTGGCTACTCTGTCAGTTTCTTGGCTCTGTGAGAAGAGGCCCTAAATTGAATTGACTTTTGGGGGGAAGAGGGCATTTTTCATTCTAATACTTAGTACTTTTCTCAGGAATGACACATTTTAATTAAGTACTTGATCCAAGATAATAGCATGAGGAATTTGTCCATCATCCATAGTTACAGTCTCCTTCCTTGACTTATAAAAGTAGCTAATAAGGCAATTCAACTTTTTTGTGTTCACATTGTTCCTTGGAATAACAGAAAAGTGAAAAAGACAACAACAACAACAAAACATTGCTGATGATGCCAGCTTGATATAATAGATTTTTCCATTTATGGAAAGCAACAATAGCTTCGGTGAAATAATATTTGCAACATCAGTTCAGTTTTAAATTTTTTTTTTTCTTTTTGGGTGGGTTGGGAAGTCTCCTTCTATAATATATGTTGTAACATAATCTCATGCAAAGTTACCAACCCTAATAGTCTTTCAATGTCCATGTAATTACCATCTCCTCTTTAAAATAATCTCTTTTTGGTGATTCTGTAAGGTAGCATTTAATGAGGATTCCCTCGCTATTTTGTGGATGTTTAAAAGCTGGCCTCCAAATAGAGAGATGGGCTAGGGATATGAACAGGCATTTCACAGAAAAAGAAATTCAAATGGCCAAAAAATGTTCAACCTCACTAACTCAAAAATCGAACTATCACTTTATAGGATTAAGAAACGATACTGGTTTTGGAGAAATGCGTACCCTTATGTGCTTCCAGCAGCCCTGTGAATTGATTCAGCCTTTCTGAGGGTAATTTGGCAGAACTCATGAGACCCAAAAAATACACTCTCTTTACCAAGCACTCCCATTTTAGGGAATTTATTCTAAGGAAATAAAGATGTACTCAAAGATTTAGAAAAGGCTGACAAACTGAATTATGGTGTATCCATACAATGGAATACTGTATAGAATCAAAAATGAAGTTGCAGAAATACCTCTGTATATATTATTAAGAGAAGGAAATGGATTACCAAATACTCTGTGTGGTATAATTTCATTTTCATAAGGGTATTTATACAAATTTATACATAGAAAAAGATCTGAAGGATATATTTTAAGTCTCTACGTGGAAAGTATTGAGTGTATAATTTTTGCACATTTGAATTTTTAAATTTTTTTCCTCTACCAAACATGTATTGCTTTTGAAGCTTTGTTGAAGATTTGGCCTCCATCTTAAAATGCACAGAATGGATAGGAGGAAAGGAAACCTGATAATCAACAGGATGTCGCCATTCCCCAGGTCCTTTTCTGAAGGTTCACCAGCAGCCTGTTTTTCTTTCAGAGCTGGTTCTTGAAAGCTGTGTTTGAGTTGTTGTTTTTTTTTTTTCCTGTGACAAATGCCTATCATTTTCTAAACAAGAAAGCCAATGTTCTAGTTAGGTGTGTGGAGTTCTTTTCATTCACTCGCGGCCCTGTTGTGTTAATACTGAATAAGCAGAGACAGCCTGACTGGTGGTGAAAGATGGTAAGCCAGCCTCAGGGCTTTTTCTGGTCAGCCCTAAACCTCTGATTGCCACGTTTTCCTAATTTCCCATTTCCAGGGCATCACTAGAGTGACCTTGCTTGCTGAATATGATGCTCTGCATCTCCAAGATTTTCACATGCATTTGGAAGTGGGCAGTCAGGCGATTGTTTACAGGGCTCCAAATGAACTGTGCACTCACAGCAAGTTTGATAAACACACATTTCCTCCTTTTATCAGTGAGATTGCAGAATGTGAAGTATGAGTTTCCAGTTTTACTCATTCCCCTCAACCCTTTTCCTGTTTAAAAACTTAGACATACTAATTGGATGCTGATCTGTCCCTGTTTTTTATTCTGCTTACTGGTAGTTGATGGCTTATTCCAATACTTACCTAGGCAAGGTTTGGCAATCCTTCAAAAATAAACTTTCCATGTATTCAACATAAAGGAGATTCATCCCAAGGAATGTAATGTGAGCACTAATTAACAGTAATGACTGCTAATCACTTTGCTTTTTATACTCCTTTAGGAGCACTGCTATTATCCAATGTAGTTAAGTAAAATGCTTGTATATGAATCAACAATGCTGCATCCTTTTAGCAACTTTTGCTCACAATCAAGCTTTGCATAAATTAGAGTTAACTAAAATTGGTTTTAATATGCTACGTTTCTTTCTACAATAGTAAAGTAAAATATCTAGTTAAATATCCTGAATATTAAAAAGACATCACCTGGTATTTTTTTTTGCAATCATCCTTATGGTAGATGAGAAGCAACACTGCAAATAAATTTTCTCACAGTTCATGATATTTTCTCTTAGATTTCTTCAAAATTGCATGTGACGTACTCTTCATAGTCACAGGAGCACTTTGATTGTGTTGTAAGCATTGTATCAGATCCATGAAAAGCAATAGGCTTGTATTTAATTTTTCTGAATTTGTGCATTTACTTCCTAGAGGATCTTACAGTTTCTTTAAATTATATAGCCCATTATATAAACTTGGCTCATAGGATAGTGCATTCAATGTTCATTAAAAAGGGGTGTTTTATTATGTTTAGTGTATTATTAGACTATTATAAAAGCTTTCTGTTTATTTACATGCATTCAACATACCTACAAACCGCCTTGCCTCAGGAGGAGACTAAGCAAAACTCATAAATTAATAATTTAAGGGAGCGATACTCAAGTAGCATTTTGGTTAAGTTAATAAGTTAAAGCCTTAGCGTCAAATCAGTGCTGGCCACTTTAACAATGCTTTACTTTTGACTTTTATTGGCTGAAAATAACTTGTTAAACTGGGGCTTTTGTAATAAAATGAAATCTACATACCATCTGAAGCCCCTGCCCTTCTTTTTGATTTATGAGTAGGTTGACGTATTATTGAAGAATTTTTAACACTTTCACAGTTCTGCACTTTGATTTCAGAGAAGGTGCTAATCTCTCTGGAAGTTTGAGAGTGACAAAATGAGTTGTATACTGTTTTTCTAGGGAATTTGGAATTCTTTATTAGTGGCCTTAGTTTTATGATGGTACTTGTATTAACATTGATTTGTCTAACGTGTAATGTGGTGTTGTGATTTGATGTACATGAATGGAGTATCCTCCTTTCTCATATCTCTAGTTGCCTGGCCATGATGTTATAATTCTTATAGGTGATGTTAGTGTTTCTACAGAGGTTCAGCAATTCAGGGCATTATTTTTAAATTACCAAAATAAAATAATTTAATTTCCTTTTCACTTTTGTATTTTTTGTAGCATCAAAAATTTAAATTTTTGGTGAATAAACAGGTGGAAAAAATTAAGTAGTAGTGTCATAAGAAGCTTTATATTTTATATGCTAGTCTTATTGTAATACATTGCAAACATATGTGTTTTAAAAAAACTTTTGGCACTGTATTTAATTGAATTTAGTTTCAAAGAATTGTAACAGGAATGATGTGAGAGAACAGAAAATATATGGAAGCTTAATTGAATGCTATCCATATGTAATTATAAGATTCGTGAGTATTGTATGTAACTTATTTATTTTATATTCCAGTATTATTGCACAATAGCACAAAATGCATGTGTATGAGGAAAAACCTGCTTTTTCTGTTTTGCTTTGGGTTTGAGTTTTTATGTGTAGTAAAATTACATTTAAAAAAGGTGAAGATTTCAATTTTGATCCATTTTTTTGTTTGTTTTTTTACAGTGTGTTTACTTTTATGTGAGAGTGATTGATCTATAGCTGTCATTTTGCCCAAAGAGGGGACAAATGGAATTGGCCTTTTAGACAAAAGTATGCAAACAGACTGCATTCTTTCTGTTGATAGAATTATGGAAGGATTGCATGAGGTGCCACATTCATTTTCCTATTGATTGTGAAGAGGATTCTGCAATGGGGTGCTGTTTCCATTGGATAAGAAGGTGCTATGATTAGTTACCTTTCTCATGAAAGCACTACAAAGGGAAATGCAAAATGTGTGCAGTGCAGTGTTCTCAATTTGACAGTTGTTTTTGTTAAGTTTTTTGCCCCATTGAAGTCCAGCCTATTTTAGAAAAACATACATTTTGGTTTTTTCCCTTATATTAGGCTTAGTAGATTTCCATGCATTTGACCCTTTGAAGAAATTATACGTTGTAGACAGTTTTTCTAGGCTTCTATTGTAAAGCTCCCAAAGCTGGGGCAACAGTGCCCTCTATAGTCTTTTAGTGAATAGTAGATAATCTAGATGATTTGGAATATTCAGGTAAGAAGCAGGATATTTAAATTTAATTTTTGCTCAGACAAGAGACTCCTTTTTCCTAAGTAGACATTCTTGTTTTTCACTAGTGGCTTTACTTTAAACAAAGGGAACAAAAGACCATTCTGAGTTTTCATTTAGAATTATTGGCTACCTCTTGTTGTTACCCCATGGTAAATCTCAAGTTTTATCAGACATTCATCAGAGTAATTTGAGCTAGAAGGAATCTTACAAGCTGTACTGTCTCTTCATGAAATATCTTTTTGAAGTTGAGTTCCAATACGAGTATTTTTTTAAATAATTTAGTTCCTTTGTGCTCATTTCTTCTATTTAATTAGAGCCTGAGTGGGCTGTCTAGAACTTAACTTTTACTTGTTCCTGAATTGGGTAACCAGGCTTTATACAGGACATTATTTAAATTGAAACCAAGGGAGTTACACAATGACTAAAGTATTTGTCATTCATTAGCATTGATTTACATTGTAGATTTGCTTTCCTCCCTTTTTTGGTTACCTATTTGATTATATATGTTGATAGCTAAATTTTCCTTTGTAAAACACAACTTTATGCGAAGTTATTAGATGATAATAAAAGCAGGCATCATACTTAGTGATGATTAGAAGAGAAAAATTCCATAAGCTAAGTTTATTTTACTTCTGAAAGTGTTTTAGTAAAGAGAACTTGGATCCAAACCCTAGCTGCTCCATGTATTCACTATGTAATTTTGAATACATTTCTTAACCTCTGAGCTTGCTTTCTCATCTGCAAAATGGGATTAAAAATAGTTTATCTTTTGAGATTTTTGTGAAGGATTAGAGAGAATGTATATTAATTGGCCAAGTCATTATAGATGCTCAGATGGTGACTTTATTCTAAAAATCACAGTGTGAAGGTAAATGGCGTTGTTTTATATTAGGGAAGTTTTAATATAAATCTAGAACACATTTAATGCACTTTAGATCTTTTAAAAATTCCTATCTCATAGCTTCTGATGATTTATGGGAGTCTGAAAGCTGCCATGGCATTCCTTCGTAATGTGAACTGACAAAATGAAATGTGCATTAACTTTCAATTCTCTACAGACCTCATCCCCAAACTTCTTAAATAGTCCATGTTTATAAACTTTAGTTTAATAGACATTTACTCACAAAACCAATATTTGGCAACATGTGAAAACTGACAATAAATGAAACTCCAAAAAAAAGAGTCTTTTATTTTTTCCCTTAGGATACTTTTCATTTACCTGTGTTCTTAGTAGTAATCTAGAGCCCTTTTCATATTTTGCTTTCTCCACCCAGCCACAAGAAAGGCTCAAGTATAGAAATAGATGGAAGTGGAGCTTTTCTGGTCAAAGTGGAGATGGGTGCCTGAGTCCCTCTCCTTTGAAGGAACAAAGTTTAAAAACCACTTGGTACTGTACCCCAAATGTATATGTGTGTGTACACACACACACACACACACACACACACACACTCTCCTTTTGTTTTGTACAAAAGCTTTGTTCTACTTTGGTTTGAATTCACAGCACCTAGTTCTTCATGTGGCACATAACAGATGCTCAATTAATATGTGCTTAATACAAAATTTTTTCAACATCAGGCCTCCTCTTATTGATATATAAGATTTGAGATACCATATGTATTAAAATGTACAGTTCAATGTGGCAACGTAATATTACAGTAATTGTTTCTCTGTGAACCATCTGAAGAACACTTCCAATGTAATTTATCAATTTGTTCTTTAAAAGTCCAACAAATTGTTGTAACTAAAAATAATAATGGCAAATGAACAAAAAATATTCAAAACTTGTCTTCAAGATGATTAAAAGCTGTTGTACTTCACAATGGTGAAATTAGCTAAAGATTCAGACATTTCAAATGACCCAGTGATAAAAATAATCTTGCACAAAGAAATTCTGAATCGAATTTTCTTACCATTCAGTAAAGCATTGTTTTTCTTGTAAAGTTCTTATTTGTGCATCATATTGATTTTGAGTAACTTTGAACTTAGTATTATAATAAGCCACATATTGTTTTTAGCATATCACTTGGGTTAAATTGAGAACTGCGAAAGTATCTTTTTTTATCATTATAAAGAAGGAATCAATGTTTTAAGCTGATAGAATGAAAATGAACAAGCTCTTAATAAACCAAATATGGTAGTTCTTTTTAAAATAATGACCAGTTGCAGTAAGAAACATATTTAAAATTAAATTCTGGTTTACAAGACTGACAAGATGCTGTCTACCAAAAAAAAAATGAATAAGGTATTTTTTCTTTGCAATGAAAGTACCAAATTAAGAATCCGCTTAATTAAAATAATGATAAATGTGGATTGCACTACTGAAGACAGTGAAATACAGCTGCTCTGTCTAGTGAGAGCCCGCATAATTTACCAAGACTGTGCAAAGAAGCAAAGGAGCAGCCACTGCAGACTCTTAGAGGAAACGTCCTGTTTATTCTACATACATTTCTTTTTTTAATTAAAATGTCAATGATAATTTTATAGCAGTCCTCCAAAATGTCCTTCTTAGATTTCTTCAAGGTGGTAGAATATGAAACGAGATCATTGCTGCTGAATGAAACAGATGAAACGTGAGAAAAAAATAGCATTTTATTATTTTTTATTAGTTCTGTTTTCTTTATTATGAGTTAATATTGAAATATGTGATGATATATATATATATTTTTACAGGAGTCTTGCGTGAGAGAAATGTAACAAAATCTTAGAATATACATTTTATTTAAAAATCTTTTGGAGCCACAAGCAAGATTTAGATGGAGCCATAAGTAGTATTGTCTACAAATAGAGATGCAGATATGTATACTATGGAATTCTCAAGATGGAGCAGACAGCTCTGGGTCTATCAGGATTAGCTGGGTGGTATTTCCCCCTCAACTCCATCACTGGGTTGTGATGACGGATGATGTACTGCATGTGTCAGTGTCTGGAGACCAAAAAGAGGTTGAGAACCCCTGTTACACTGTATATTTTCATCTTTTACATTAATGATGACCAATGATATCTTCATAATTATGTACATATATTTAGGAAAACCAGCATTGTGTGTAACAAGAATTGGCTTTTTGAGGGTTTTTTGCCTATCAGGGATAAGTGGGGACTCTTGGGGTCAGACTATTGTGTGTTCTAGGCTCTACCACGTGCTAACTGTATGACCTTGGTTTAGTTAACTTCTCTGCATCATGGCTTTCACATTTGTAAAGTGGGGCTAGTGATAGTACCTACATCATAGGGTTGTCGTGAGCATTTAACGGGATAATTCATGTAAAACAGAGCATAAAAGAAGCCTCAATAAATGTTAACTTAATATTTAACTTAATATTACATTATTATTATTAGTCACTGGATATAAGATTTCTCCTGCATTGGAGCAATAGAGCATTGCTCATACTTAACTAACTTAAGATCATTGTTATCTGTCATGGGTTATCTGTTGATCTGGTTCTTAGAGAAGTTAGCCGTGCCCTTGTGTGTTTTCAGGTATAGTGTGGTAGAAATTCTGCTGCTCCTTATTTTGTCTTTAATTATCCTTCCTCTTAGTGCTTCATATATCAGTTGCTTTAGCATTGGTGAAAATGATGTCAAAGCTTGTGTATTTCAATATGTCTGTTTTGGACTTTGCTTTAGCTTGATACTGGCTGGAATTAATTAAATATTTTCCAGGGCTCAGTTTTTTCTAAAGGGTCTTTCAGGTGTCCACCCACTAAAAGCTTCTTAACTGGGAAAGCTTTGTAGGCTGAAAATGAACACATCACTAAGAATTTGAAAAGTATATGAGAAAACAATATGAGGAGGAATCTGAGATGATTTTATTCTATATGCTTTTTTCTTTGAGCTTCAATAAAATGTAAATGCAATAGGTGCAGAGATAAGAAGTCACACACTATATAACCATTATTCATAGTATTTACACATGCTGTATGAGTTGTAGAATGTTCACATACGTTTATTTTTTTCTCTTAGTTTGTTCCAGACTTTTCTCATTGCTAGAGATGTAGATGATTACGGCACAGTGCTTATCTCTAGGACTTAGCACTTTTGAGTTTTAAGGAAGAAAGTTATTGCTATATATTCATCAAAATTATTACTTGTGATGAATTCTTTACTCTTTTAAAAATATTGCATGTTCTTTGTAGTGTGCTTCTTTGTTCTGTGACTTGGCATTCATTCCTCCTTGTCTGGCCATTGTCGCTGAGTTTCTCCTAAGAATCCTGTGGTCTTTAAGGCTCGGTATTGCTCTGTCTGTGCCAGTTTGGGAATTATACTTACGATTCTTGATTTAGCTTATAATTTTGATTAATACCTTCAAATAATTTATCTGTTTATTCTTAAGCAACTTAGTCTTAGAGTCTTCAGGTTTCTTCCCTGTCCTGGTCCTCCCCAGTAGAGAGCAGTTACATAT